CATATAAGAAAGAGAAGTGAACTTCCATGAAGTTCCAATTGTTCCAATTGTTTTACTTTGAGATTGAAAATGTTTTGATATTATATTGAACTTGTTTGGGTGTGGAACTTGCTTAGTTTTCGCCATTAAGTGAATTCATGGGGTTCTATGAAATAATAGATCTAAAATACATAATGAAATTTTTTAATGACGAGTAGGATATGTGAGAATAGAATCAAAATGTTTCGTTGAAAAGTCTAGTTATTTTTTTACTTGCACAGATTTTATATGCATTGTTGTAAATGATGTGATACATTTGTATTTTTATGTTATTTTAGCTTACTGAAATGGAAGTATGTACGCTGATTAGCTAGTGAAATAAACTGTTAAAACTAACTGCACAGATTCAGACAAGTTAATGGGTCTGAAGTTTCCCCTGGTTGTTTAATTTAGGTTAGCATTTAATTGGCACTACAAGAAAGAAGTTGAAAGTTAAAGCTGATTGTTTGTTACACTGATTTTGGCTAGGATCTACACTTTCTTTGGAGCTGATATCTATATGTTACTTCTTCATTTTAATCTATATTTATGTAGACTAGTCTGATTACCTCTGTGAAATTGATGTGAAATAGTACGTCTGCTGCATGATTAACAGTGTTGGGTTGGAGTATTCTGGAGGGATGAGAAGAAAATGTCCTAGAACTTTTGCAAACTAAAGAGTTGATGAGAATTGAACTCTTCCTACTTTATAAGGTAACAGGAAATGAAGTCTTGCAAGAAAAGAAAATTAATACCCTAGTCCTTGCTGCAGATAAAACTTTAATTGGATTGTCTAGGATTCTAAAGTTGTGGGAAGGGTGGCATCTGTCTAATATGCAAATCCAGATGGCTAAATGTGACACCCAAATCTAAACTGCTTATATAGAATTATTTTTTATTGATTGAATACCATGACAGAGGTATTCAATTTTCTCTTCTAACTCGATGCCCTCATTCTGAGGGTTCGTCTGTATAAAAAGGCTAATTTGCCTAATTACAAGGCTGAGAATCAGCCATCACGGTTCATATGGAACGTAAATAGCTTCCTACCATTTATACAGCTGCTATGTATAGTGTCTTATTTAAATTGCTGTCCAATTGATAGTTATGACAATCAAATACTCAAATACTTAATTTCTCAAGTTGCATTTGCATTTCCAGAGTAGTTCTAATAGTGTAGCGAGTGTAGGAATCTTAATTTTTCATTTCCACAAGAATTTTCTTGGTGCGGCTCCCACGATCAGCTTGATATATTCTCACTCACCAATGCTCCAAAAAGTCCAGGTCATGAGCATGCACTACCCTTTTAGGATTAAGAATTGTCATTTGGTATATTCTGTGAAATTAAATTAATTTAAACGTCCCTGAGCTAAATTAAGCCCTTGTTTGAGGCCCATTTTGGAGAAAAATAAGTGTTTTGGAGAATGTCTGGTTAAAAAATAAGGAAAAGCTTTCGATTTACATAAATTTATTTTATTGGAGAATGTGTGTTTGGAAATGAGTTTTGAAAAAAATGAGCTTTTGATAAAATGGGGCTCAAACAAGGGCTAAATTTCGCATGGTTTCGTACTTCAAAGTCACCACTTCTATGGCCAAGATAAGCTACACGTATTGTAAAGTAGACAATATCACTTATACAAACTAAAGTGGTCAATTGAACTCACCAGTCACGTACAAAAGTTTAGGTTGTAAATTGTAAATTATATCGTCCGCACATAATCCTTCAACATATAACCTTATTTGGAAAACTTACTTTTCTTTAATCCGAAAAATCCTTACTTTTTAAAGGAAGCTTAAAAAAGTTACTCTAAGCAACTTTTTATCTACAAAAATGTTTGGATAACTTTAGATTCTTCTTATATTTTAAAGTAAAAATGCTTTTTACATTTTTTTTTTAAAATTAAGATTAAAAAAAGTAAAGTTCCTTTCGAGTTACTTTTTTGTTTACAAAAATGTTTGAATAATTTACATTTCTCTTATTTTTAGTAAAAAAGTTATTCTTTAAAAAAGAAATTTACTGTAGTGTCAAAATAAGAAAATATTTTTCAATCTTAGCAATAAAAAAATGATTCATTTTAAAACTTATTTATTTACTTATAAGTAAATGTACGTGTTCTTTTGTTGATCTATCCAAATTAATTTTATGCGTAATACATCATGTACATTTTCAGGATTGAATAGTCTCGTCCAAACCAATCTCATAGGGGGATTATTTCAATTCGGTGTGACTGAGGATGATATGCTACTTGGATTAGTTAAGTCATGGTATAATTTGTGCCAAACACCATATTGAATAAATATTATCCTTATCCGGTGTAATATAGTCTTCCGAACTTGCTCTCATTTTGTATTATTATTTTTATTATTTTTTTTTTGCATCTTCTCATGTTGGGATTACATGATTGAGTTTTTCCTATGATGTCATTCAGATTTTCTTCTACTGTAACATGGTAGCTTTTCTAGGGTTTTCGGAGGACTAGTACAAGGAATCAAGTAGAGCAGCGTGCCCTTTATCTCCACTCGGTATGTAGGTTGTTCCGTGGTTGATTTTCATTTTGATTAGGTAAACTGTGGTCCATAACTCTGGAAACTTCTGTGTTTGAGCAGGTTTTGACACATCGATCGGGTTCTGCTTCTATGCTCTCCCTCATTTACACGGAGATTCTAAAGATGCTTCGTATGTGGGGTCTCCTAAATTTTGACGTGGAGATTTTCTTCCCTCATGATTCATACAGTTGTCCAAAAGGGTATCACAAACAAAAGAGCAAGGAATCTGATCAATCACATATTATGACTACACAAACTTTACTAGTGGAGGTAATTCATTTGTCTTGCCCCCTTATTTTTGTAGTATACTTTTCCTTCCTTCCATGAAGAGCATTATATTTGTCTTGGCCTTTAGTGTGTGCATTTGAAAGATGTTTGGTGCACTCTTTTGTCTCTTATAAAGATGAGATGAGACAAGCACTGAAAGGGAGTTAGTACTTATAGGGTAATTGTTCCTAATTTGGTGCTGGATAACCAGTCTTCTTCAGTCTTATCTCTAGTGCCTTTTAACACTGTCCTTGCATAAATCCATGAACTTCTTACTTTCCTAGGTAGTAGTCCTTCCAGATTGAATTTTTCTACGGTCTTTTATCTAGAAGCTTCTAGATATATCCACGTGTTTTACTCTCTACGCCACTTTCTATCTAAACCTTTCAGTTCAAAAGGTAAAATTACTATTTACACCCATAATTTACTCCTTACCCACACTTTACAAGCGTAAAACATGAGGTACAACATTTCATTCTCGTCTAATTTTTTGGCAGCCTTCGTGGAAAATCCTATTTCATTTTCCCCCTCTATATTTCTTCCTTCCTCACCTTTTTCCCTACATCTTCCCTTCTTCCTCTCCCCTGACGTCACCTCTGCAGCATGTGGAAAGGGATGAAGGATGGTGGGGGAAGTGTTGAGAATTCGAAACCCTCATTCTATTCCACCAAGAACAATCAATTTGTAGAAAGAAAAACTATGACAATATATATCAAGTATCTAACTTTACAGGTGACCAGCTGAAATTGTCTCCCACGGAGGCATGTTTGGTGACCGATTTGTGAAATATTCATACCAAATATGACAATATGTTTCAACTATCAAATTTTACACATCTCATTCCTTCGTGCATCCTTTTGATTGGTCATATTGAAATATTCAGGTCACCTTGTGTGAACCAATACCCATCTTCTAGGCATTCTTTACCTTTCCTTTCTTATGCCCCTTTATAATAGAAGGCTGTAAGCATCATGGCCCTGCCTCCAGTTTAATATTTCAACAGGCCTTCTATTATTTCTATTAAAGCAAAATGAAATGAAAATTTGAGATATATCAATAATCTATATCTGGGTCTGAGGCTTTTAGATTTAGTTTTTGCGTTCTCTTTGTACTGCTTTCATGGAGTTCAAAAGTGTGGTGATGACCTAAGTTCGAGTTATCCGATCATGCATTTCTTTATTACAATCTTGATATACTAGGTCCATGTCATCAGAGATTTTAATTGGACACACTCAGGTGATTGCAGATCTCACATGAAAATCATACTCAAAATGATTATGACAGAAAGACATACCTCAAAATTTTAGATACTCAATACATAATGTGTAACTTTTTACCAGCAAGCATTTTGTATGTTATCTATCTAATTACAATTTCAACAAACAAGGATTTGTGTTGATTCTGTTATTAATGGTGACTTTCTTGTTCAGATGTTGAAAGATTTGAAGCATGCTTTCTGGCCATTTCAACTTAATCATACTAGAAGTCTGTTCCTAAGGGCAGCACAAGCTGCTCACTGCTCCAATGGATCCAACAACACTAAAGAAAGGTTTTTATTGTATAATTTATACTTAGTTTATCTTCTAAGAATAATTTGCCATATAAGGATTTTGTTTTTCTTTTCATATTATTCTCTCTCGCATACTTCTCAAGCACGTACACTTTCTGATGCAGTGCTGTGGAGATTGCATCTGCCAAGGCTGCTCAGCATAGGCTGCAACGAGGTGTTTGGACCAGTGTTCGTTTTGGGGATATGAGACGTGCACTATCTGGTATATGAATGATCTGGTCTTGTACCTTTATCACCATGTTTTATTATTAACTTCATTAAGGGCACATAGGAAATGGTGAGTAACATGATATGTACATAAATGCTCTAAAGGTTCCTAATATACAAATAGAAAGTTCCGGATAAATATTAAGCCCCAGGTTGATGACCGTTATTTTCAAACTCTTTTTTCTACATACTCATTTTTAACCTCCTCACATTTACATAATAAAATATTCTGCTCATCAACCAAAAACTTTTTCCTACTTTTTAACCACAAATTCTCCTAAAAAATACTATTCAAAACATTGTTTTTTTATAAATAATGGCCACCAAACAGGGGCTAAATTGGACGCTTTAAAAAAGGTTTGCCTATTATCACTAGGCAATGCCAACAATAAAGACTCCTTTCCAATCTCAATAAGCAAATCTATCCTTGACTCAAAATTTTTCACGTTCAATAGTAGTTGGCTTAATGGATGCTATTATTCTAGAAGGAACTACCTTAAATTCGCACCCTCCTTCCATGTCCGTGTTGGTTTGGAAAGTAAAAGTGAGACATGGGTTGAGTTTGGCTTGTATATTACTCTAAAGATCAGGTTATCAACAGAATAGATTATTTCCTTTTGGAGTAATGGACTAAGATAAGTGATGGATTTAAAAATTTCCTTTGCCTTTTCGCAAAAATCATATATAGTAGTTGTTGAATCACTTGATCTAAAAGCTTAAATTGTTAAATATAACCACATTTATCATTAAAATATTATATTGAACACGCCCTCTCACATGTACGTGGGATTAATTTATCCAGATTAAAGGTAATGAGATTTGAATTTTGGACATTTGCCTACTTTGATATTATATTGAACTACGTGATATAATGTTTAAACTGTTAGATATGACCAAATATTTATCATTTAAATATTATATTCAACAGTAGCATATATGTGCTCAATTAGATCTGTAGAGGGAAGTGTTAAAAGTTGTTATTATGCGAAAAGCATAGTTGTCACAAGAAACTACCTGACTTCTGTTGCCCAGGACTGGCTAAATATTTTCATATGATTTTTCCTCATTTCTTAATGAAAATAAATTATCTAAACTCTGCACGTACACAATATTGGAAATTTCCTATTGCTTGGAGTACAATTATTTTTCAGTGAGCCTTACCAAAATTGCATATACATATGGATATATATTACTGTGAAAACATTGGGTATAGAACACAAATAAGGGGACAGAGAGCAAAACGAGAATAGAGTGTGGAATAGTGTGTTATGGTGAAATAAAGTTCTTAGTGCTATATTTTTATGTTTTATTAATTTCTACTCATTTTTATCTCTCAAAGAATTGCTACCTGAGTGGTTGCCCCATTGCTTAGGCAATGCATTAGGATATCACCCAGACTCTCCTAGGTGTTTTGGCCATTACCATTGTGAATGTATATATTTCTTTATGCCCGGATTATGTCAGAATAACACAATTAATAGTGCAATATGTAATGATTTTCTAAATCTACCTGACTATTAGTTCTTGGGAAATAAACAATATGGATTATTTAATAAAAACAAGATAAAATCATATGCTTAAAAGCAGGTTTGTGCTTTTGATTGTTGAGTCATAATGTTTATAAAGGATCTTTATTTCTGCATAAATATACTACCTGTTTGCTGCATTTCAAACCTCGTGAAAACTTCCGATTACCGTTTAAAATTTCTTACTTGTTCTTGTTGCCTTCACATTTAATGATCACGCTCTTTAACAGCGTGTGAACGTCTTATCCTACTCCAAACTGATCCAAAGGAACTAAGAGATTATGCTGTTCTTCTTTACCACTGCGGATTTTATCAGGAAACACTGCACTACCTCAAGCTGTACATGGATACTAAGGTAGAGTTTTCCTATCTGTTGCACTTTGATGTATCAATTTAAACGTCTTATTTGTTTAACTAATGAATCATTAATCAATTGCAGAAGTCCTCTACATCGGAGCAATCATCCCGTTCAACTAGTGACATGGAGGAAGATGCTGTGGAGAAACTAATGGTTCGACTTAACCTCATTTTGATGGAGGGTTGGTCTAGCGACTCAGATAACAGAAATTTCATTTTCAACAATTCTGAACCATGGTAACCTCCGGCATCTAATTCAGAACTTCCAATCATGGAAGTTCTGCACAGTATTCCTCAAGGAACCTATGACATGGAGAAATTGCTTATAAGTATATAGTGTACAGAACTTAAATTTAGCTTACGTCTTGTAATTACAGTGGGTTTTTTCTCAATTTATTCCAACCACAACATAACTGTCACACTTGTTCTTAAGAATAGATAGCATAATGTCGAAAGTTTGAAGTAAGATATCTCTATATAGTCCTGGAACCTGGATTATACCACTTCGAAATGAACTATTTTCATTTATTTATTTATTTATTTTTTTGTGCGTGCTCCATATTCCCATTTCTGGCTTTTTTTTGCCCTTTAAAAGCTTGTCATAATAGAATCTTTGCTGCAATAGAGTTCGATTTTAGGATGGGTTTATAGTGTCCGTTTAATAAAATTTTTGCTTTTGTTTCTTGTAGAAAAGTTTCTTGAGGTAACTTTCTCTAAAAACTCTTAGTCACACACATTAAAAGATGTTAAGAAAAAACATCTTAATTTTCCGAAGCAATTTTTGATTTTTCTAGTCTTCTCAAAACGGTTTCATAGTCAAATGGGGATTGTCTTTCGAACTGCTGATGGGAAATAATTTTCAATCTTAAGATGGTCAGAAATGATTTAAAAAAAAAATAAAAAATTGAGTGAATAATAAACAATATGGGGATGAATTGATGTGGTTTTGTTTCAACTACTCTAAATAATAATGCATAAATTTGAGTGAATAAATCAGTATCGAAGATCTACTTTGGCAAGGAGAATAAAAATTACAGTAGTAGATCAGAAGCCGATTTGATCTAACAAATTAGTTGGACTAAATCAGGAAATAAGACAACAAAAAACACGAAGCGTTGATTCTATGAATACTCGAGAAATTAAAATTTCAGCACACCAATAGAGTGGAGCCCACATTAAATTAAATAATAATATGAATGAGTGGCATCCATCAATGTGCTTTTTGTACAAATTAATGACTTTAATTTACTCAACATTGTCAAAGGTTTCCCAGCATTAACAAAAGCACCTTTGTCAGGTTCTTACACAAATAAACAAGACAAACAACAAAAATATTGAGGTGGGGGAACACTACTTGTGTTTCGTGCCCACCAACCCACTCATTTTTCTTCGAATAAAACGGTTTGTACTGGGAAAAATGTGAGGGAAATTGCCAGGTGATGATGTGACGGATTTTGATTGACTATTTCAAATTTGTTTTTTTGTACAAATTCCAATGAAAATCCGCCATTTGACATTTTGGCAATTTTCCTGACATTTTTCCCGGTGCATGTAGCATCTTTCTTTTTCTTCAATTAGTTGACATACCATATTGAAAAGAAATTCTTGTGCTCACAACAAAATTCATGAAAAAAAAAAGTTGCATAAATTTGGAGAGAGTCTGAAATAGGAAAAGATGACTAAATTCCTGTCACTTTCTCTCTTGACTAAGCATTATTCACAAAAAAAGTTGAATCAACTTGACTTTACACATGATCCAATATGTTAAACAAATTGTATCCAATCCAAGCATCATTTGTTAGAAACTACATGCGCATTAGATTTTATTTTGGAGCAAAATTCTGAAAGGTATAAACACGATGCCTTGCTTCCAATGGAATCTGTATACTCTCCTCAACTTCTGGAACAAAAATATTGGACATCTTCTATTCTTCATGTACATTTGCAGTAGAACTGAATCATTAAATACATGTTCCTACAACTTTCAAGTAGTGTCTTGTCTGAAGATTCTTAATATGAAATCACGAAAACGCCTAGAATACTGGCTCGGGTCAACTGCAGATATTGAATTTGGATCATAATGGAACGACTTGTATGCATGTTCAAGCTTCTTGCTAATATCATAATCTTGCAATATATCAATTATACCCAAGATCAGAATGACATCATAGTATTCCCCGGTTGGTTCCATTACAAGCTCACTATCATTTCTTCTTGTCGCCAGTTCAGCCCGTGCTGGCATGTTCATACCTAATCTAATGGTAATGAAAAACAGCGTCATTAAGTCGAATAGTGAACTTAAAAGCATCTTATCTTTCATACTATTACATTCAGGATATGGTAGATATATCATGATAATAAGCCAGCAGAATCATTTGAGGATCGTGCTGTCAGGTTAACCAGAGATGCTACATGTACAGGAGAATATGTCGGGGAAATTGAGTGCAAATGTTAAACTGAATGTTTTTAATATTTAGGGAAAAAGTAGAGTTCGAAATCTTAATGAAGTTCACACTTCATGGATTAGCATGTTTTATACCGGGTTGGGATCAAGATCTGACCTAGATAGCTCTGGAGCTGTTTCTTCACTGCCTTCGTCTCCATTCCCTACAAAATTTCACTTTCTTCCACTTAAGCGGGTATTGAAAAAAGAAAAAGACATTTTTTTTAATTATATTGCAGAGATCTAACGAATACTGCGTGCTGAACATACACTCAAAAAAAAAAAAGAAAAAAAAAGGATTTATGGAGGTTACATATATACCACTAGGACTTTGCACTTGGGAAATACTAGCCTCCATTGTTGGCCGTGGTTCGCCAGTACGTGAGATTTGTATAAAGTGAATCCCAACCAAAAGACTGTAATCCATAATTCTCTCCTGCTCGAGAAAATTGCAGTCCCTGTCCACTTGCCTGCATAGGGAAAATCTCAGCCTAGGATACAAAATGTTAAGGATATTATTTGTGCTGGATACATCAATGCATAGACTGCTAGTTGAACTATTTCGAGATGTAGAGCCTTTCCTATCGGGAAAATGTTTTTAAATGTGAAATCATTTTGAGAGAAGAATTTTGTGAGAAAATCATTAGGAAATAAAAAAGGTCGTGGATTACAGTTGGTAAGAGTCTAGCCAATAAAACAAGGAAAAAAAAAAAAAAAGGAGGAGAATTGTAAACCAACAAAAAAGAACAAGCCCAAAAAAATTAAAAAAAAAAAAAAAAAAACTCCTATATA